GTGGTTATAGTATTACGGATCTCAGTAATGGCTCAGCTGGAGACTCTGCTGCAGTTTCCTATAAGGCTATGAGCTCCTGGTGCTCGCAGTTCTTAAAGCGTGGTGGTGGTGTTTTATCAGGCAATCTTGATGTTAATGATTACGAGTTAACAAGGGTAGGTAATCCTACAACTGACGGTTCAGCTGTTAATAAAAGGTGGGCAACTGATGAGTTCATGAGTAGTAGAGGTGGACTGGTAAAGGGTGATTTGGATATGGGAGATTCAAGTGGTATTCTCGATCTAAAGGATCCAGTAAATGACAAAGATGCTGTTAACAAACAGTGGGTAGAAAAGAATTTCCTGAAACCTTCCTCAGGTCTTGTACAAGCAGTGGCTGATAAGAGATACGTAAGAATAAACCATCACATCTATTCAGAATGGATTTAGGGTTATCGTGGCGTATCAGTTGCAGCAACAAGGTACTATGCTTACTGTCAAGATCAGATTCCACCTTCATGGAGAACAGATACTATTAATAATATGACAGACCTCAACCTTGAGTCAATTACTATTAAATCAGATTTCCCTAGTTTTTCAACCATTCAAAATATACCACTAGCTTTAATCCTGTGGGCTACTGTATGGGAAAAACAATCTAATGGAAAATTTACTCAGGTTAAGAAGGAAATCACTTTGAGAACAATAGACTTAAGAAGACTGTCACACACTTGGTTTAATGGAACTTACACAACTACAGGTGGAAGTACAGCTTGCTACGTCTTCAAGGGCAATAGTATGTTCTATTTAGGAGCCCAGGCTGAGTTGGTAGACAACACTCTAGCTTGGTGTGTTATAGTTAAACCTGAACACTCAATGCCCACTGGATCGAGTATGGATATGTCCTTTTGCTGGTCACTTCGATATTCAGGGTCAGGTAGTTAACATGTGTTGTATTATAAGATATCATGTCAAGGTGGAGGTCATGTTTCTCCTGCCTGGGTAAGATTTGTGGTTGCCGTGAAAAGTCTAAGGTAAGAGCGTCCGGTGATATAAATTTCTCTGTATCCAATAATATTAACCTTGATGTTAGCACACAAAATAGAAAGGATGATTCGAGCGTTTCGATTGATCCTAAGAGTTTCGGACACTTGAGAATGTTGGAATATAATGCTAAGGATTTTAAGTAAATTTATAGATTAGATGAAAATTGATTGAAAAATATTGCAAGTAAAAATGAGTTAAAAAGACCACTGAAAATAAGAGCCCTTTTTCTAGACCAAAAACTGAGCCTGCGGTTTCTGGTCGAAATGGTCGAAACCGCTGACCGGAAGTGAAGAGAATCGCGGGCCGAAAAAGTGGTCTAGAAACCTCATTCCCTATACTACTTGTATAATAGAGCAATTTTGAAAGGAAATATTTTCTACTTCAATCTTCATTCCTAAATTTTGAGAATGCGCGTGCTTGATGTTTCGGCTTAAAATTTGAACGCCGTGGATATTCGTCCGACACCGGAACTCAATGTCTGATGGCTATTCATCCGACATGATGCGCAGTTTGCTTTTGCGCACAGTTACACGCGGGATTGGATTCGACGCGCGATTCAAACATATTCACGATTTCAAACACGTGCGATATGGTAAATATGGCGGACGACACATCGTTGAAATTAGGGCAAATATTTTCCTCTTTTGAAGAGGTCAAAGCTGCGATCAGTCGCTATGAAAAGAAGAATTATGTCAATTTGTATGTAAGTGACTCCAGAACGATTTCTTCGACAATTAAAAGAACGCCAAGCAAGGTTATCAAAGCTGAGTTGCAGTACTCCCACATCAATTACGCTTGCGTTGCTGGTGGCAGAACGTTCAAATCGAAGTCAAAAGGAACAAGACCGAATCAAAGGTTAGTTTTTTCTTTAAAATTCTCAATGTAAAGTTGTTACCTTTGTCTAAGGATTTTTGATCGTTTGTTGATAGCACGTTTAGAAAGGATTGCAATATGGAAGTGAAGTTGAGAGCAACAAAAGATTGTAACTTTCTGGAAGTGGCTGTCCTCAATGAGACCCATAATCACGAATGCGACGAGGTATGTTGTGTCTAGATTTAATTTGGTTTATACTGAAATTTGCTGTTATTTGTTGTTGATAATCCAATGTAATTTTCAGCTTTTCATTGTCAAATTGTGACATTTATAGGCCTAGCAGCCCTAGCTCAATTGCTAGGGTGAATAGCAATGTGACTGAATACAAGTCTTTTAAGCCCCCAAGTCAATTTGTTCCCAAATTGATTTGACCCAAGTTGATTCGCCTAAAGCCATTTTGTGCCCCCAAGTAATAAGATGTCAAAGTAGTTTTGTCTCCTGATAATCACAGCCCAGGGAATTGTGTCATTTCTCTATTGTAAAAAAAATAATTAGCACATTGGTCACTGCATCCTGATAATAGTAAGTGTGTTAAGACATCCGAAGGGGGTGGAGTATGGATAAAAATGTTTATTGCTTTATTTGATAAGTTGGGGTTTTTTTTGGGGGGAGGGGGTGGACAACTTTCACATCTAATGACTTGGAGGCGGAATAACTTTGGTATCGAATGACTTTGAATCGACTTGGGGGTGAAACGACCGGATACCATGTGATCAGCAACAAACATGACATTACTGGGTGATGTGTGTGGGGTAAAATAAATAGGCCACCATGGTCTTAGATACTGTAGGTAGAGAAGTATTATGAGAAAATTGAAAAAAAAATTCAAGTCAAATGCCCCAGGTAATAGATCTCTATTATAATATTTGTGGTGTTACTCTGAGTGTATATCCACACCGGGCGAGCTTGAAAAATATGCCCGGCCACGGTGGGATCCCACCGTGGCCGGGCATATTTTTCAAGCTCGCCCGGTGTGGATATACACTCAGAGTAACACCACAAATATCATATTCACCTGAGTACACTACACCAACACAGAAAAAAAAAAAAAAAGATCTCTATTATTTTAAGGTATCGTTTAAGCACTTCCCAAAGCAAAGAAGACTAGGTAATGAAACATTGAGCAAGACGGACAAATTGTTGAAGATGAAGTGCAACAAAAAAGTTTTGCAGAATCATTTGCAAACGATAAGTGGGAAAGTAGTGACGTGTCGTGACATATCAAACATGAAAGCAAAATTGTCGTCTAGCAAGTCTAATCGAAATGACATTGAAAAGCTTGTGAAGAAGCTTCGGGAGAATGAAGGTATGCTTTGATCTACTGTAGCTTGCCAGCAGGCTCTCAAGGTGAAATGAGAGCCTGCACTGTTGACAAACAATTTTGCAAGAGACACACCACTGAAGCACAATATTCATGTGATAACAAATTTATTTTTTCATGTATATTGCTACATGGGCGTACTGGGCGGGGGGAGGGGGCGGCAGCCCCCCAGTTTGTTGGGCAAACAAAGCCAGTCGGGCAATATTCGCTTCATAGTCAGGCAATATTGTGGGAAATTTTGTGGGAAATATGCTATCTAATAGGAATTTTTCGTAATCACTCACCCCCTCCCCCCCCGGTCAACCCGCTCTTCCATTGCTCTATATGGCTACAGTGTTATACTGCATTAGATCTAGCGTTGGCCCACAAAAAACAAAATTTGAAATCAAGTACATGAACTATTAAAACATTAACTTAAAGATGCCCAGGTTTTTTTGGCAAGGCAACTTGCCCAATCGGGCAGGCAAGATAAAATGTTCACTTGCCCGTCATGATATCCACTTACCCCAGGCAAGTATTAAGTTACACCTCTGCAATTAATTAAGACTTCTATAGGCATTAAGTATTCTGTGTTGTGTACCCTACATTGGTATTATTAAGTTAATGAATTTCTTACAGTAGATATGCACCGATGTTACATACTGGTACCCTAGAGAATCTATGTACAGCTATATGTGCTAAACATAGGCCTGTGTATGGTTTGCACTTTGCAGTACAGCTTTTATATATCTACAATTAAATTGCAGGTGAAGAAGTAAGAATATCTGTTTGTCTATTCAGAGTGAGACAGATGTTATCTGTTTGTCTGTTCAGAATGAGGCAGTGCTATCAATCATTCTATTTGTATATAAAATGAATGGAAATGAATGATAGATGGTGAATAGCATTGAAGATTATTTGAGTGTTGCCGTTTGCACTCATTCCACAGGGACCAACTCAACAAAAGCCATGGCAGTCATGTTAATTGGTGTTCCAGAAAAGTCTAATTAACCCATTGAGTCGCATTGCACCCTGATGCACCCTACTTTAGTATTTTACTCTGTCTAACGCCAGACGATTTTACTCGTCAAGGGGAGAGCGCTGGCGCTTAATGGATTAAAATTATTTTGAATTGGAACACCAACATGGCGGCTGTGAAGTCATGTGCAGACATTCTGTAATTAATTAAGAACTTTCTTTTTAGGTGCTACTGCAGAAGTTGTCGTGGATGAAGAGAACAACCTGTTGGGTATATATTATCAAGATAAACCAATGAAGATTGCATATGATTCGTTTCCAGAGATGCTGTTTATCGATGCCACATACAAACTGAATGAACTCAAAATGCCTCTGTATATAATGCTTGGGGAAGACGGTAACGGAGAAAGCGAGATCTTCTGCACATTCATTGTCTCCAATGAAGAAAAGCCAACCATTCAGAAAATGGTCCAGATCTTTAAAAATCATAATCCGACATGGACAGAGACTAAAACAGTCATGACTGACAAAGATTTTGTTGAAAGACAAGTCTTCAAAGAGGAGTTCCCTAATGTCCATTTGTCCATATGCCTCTTCCATTCACAGAGATCTTTCAGAAGGGAGGTAACAACAGATAAAATGGGCATAACCCCGGAAGAACGGAACCTGTGTTTAGAAATATTCCAAAAGATGTCATATGCCAAGAATGAGGAAGAGTACCAAAGCTTGTACGCTGATTTAGAGAAAGCGAGTGTCCCCAGTGTCTTGGAATACTTCAAAAGTAACTGGCATGAAAACCACCGGGAGTGGGTTGAGGGTCTCAAGTCAGCAAACTTGACATTCCTTAACCGAACTAACAACAGGTAAGTAACTGCCCTTTCCTAGCGGGAGGGAGGGGGCTTTTGTCCTTTTAGCACCCTTTGGACAAATCTGGCTAACGCTTAACAAAAAAATACTTGTGGTTCCAGTTCCCAACGACCCTATTTTTTTCAGGGTTTTTTTTTTGCCTAACAGTGACTTTTACTTAGCTAGTATACTGTAATGGTTCTTTCCTTGAAGTTAAAAATCTCTTTAGATTAGAATCCCTGAATCAAAAGATCAAGACAGTGTGTACCAGGAATACTGGCCTTGACCAATTTTACGAGGAACTTTTAGTGGTGTTTCAGTCCATCAGGACCACACGTGACCACAGGGCAATAACATTTTTGCAAAAACGACCTGTTTGTCTCTATGCTGAAGGTACAGCGGAAGCCCGATACATGACACTTTTGCATTTGGACACCCCTTATGCATTTGGCTATGTTGTTCAACAGCTACAATTGGCTACTAAAGTTAAAAACGTGCACAGAAAGGAGTTGGGAATCACTGATGATTTTGAAGTTGATGCATCATCCGGCAAATTAACTGTTTCAGACTGTCATTGTGACTGTGCATTCTTCACAGTAATGATGCTCCCTTGCCGGCACATCTTTGCAGTTCGCAGTATTTTGAAGAAGGATGCTTTTGATTTGTCTATCTGTGCTACAAGATGGACAGTGGCTTACTACAAGTCTAAACATCATGTCCTCAAGAGCCGGGGACATGAGTTTAGTTCAACTCCAGATGAAATGTCTCCAATATGTGTTCAGCAACCGGCAACAAAAAAGATCATGTCACAGCATGAGAAGTACAGGAAAACCTTTGCAACATGCCAAGCTTTGGCAACATGTGCATCAGAATTTCCTATGCGAGAATTCCACCAAAAGAATGCTATTTTGGAAATGATATTGGCAGCATGGAGAAATGGTGAAGAAATTGCTGTGCAAAGAGTTGTGCAGGACGACAATGAGGGTATGCTGTTGCATAGTTAATAGAATAGATGGTTGGAAACTCATTAGAATCTCATTATCTATTTTTGGTGTTGCCAAATCCACTATTGGTTAGTTGGGCAAAAATACAATAGGCATGTGACCGTGAACGACTAGATTTATGAATAAAGGTTGACTAACATAAATAATGAGTTTCCAAACCATCTATTCTACTACTGTGGCTATTGTTCCACAGGGTGTTAGCTACAGTACAATAAAAAATTATTTAAACACAGTTTTAATAGAGCTATATTATAAATATTCAATTACAGTAATTCCCCCCAATTTCAGTTAAACAAGGATTTTTTTTATTTTTGGCTAACAACTGGCTCCACTGCCCTGAAATTACTCCAACATTGGTAAATTCAGAAAAAAAATGAGATAAGTCACACAGTCAAGTAACACAGTCAAGTATTACTGAATCACAGCATCACTCCAATATTGGTAAAACAAAAACCATGAGTTCAATGAGTGGGTGGACATATAATTAAACAGATTTTTTCCATTTTTAGAAAATGTAGAAATCCAACCAGACAAGAGTGTCCCATTAGCTGATGTGAATACAACTCAACCACAAGGTACAGTAGGTTTGCATCTTTTTCACACATACAATGTGCTCCACTTTCACAAAGAAAAGGTCAGCAAGATACATATGTTGTACTTTTCCAGCAGTTTGTAGTCAGATCAAAATCCCTCCTGTTATGCCCAAACGTGGACGTCCAAAAGGAGCTGACCTAACAGTCATTGGAATACCAAGAAAAAGGAAGGAGAAGAAGAGTTCTGGAAAGGATAAGCCAACACCTTTTATGAAAAAGCATGCTACTGATAAAGATAAAGGTAAGAGATTGGGAAAAAAACCCAGTATTATAATAGTAAAAATATCTATGAACTAAACTAGTTTGTAAAATATTAATAATTATTATTTTTATATGCTTAGTTATGTTGTCATGGTTATTGTCAAAGGATGATGTTACTTCAGCTTTGAGTGGTGGTATTATCGACGAAACTGCTGTTGAAGTCCGACCAGAAAAGGTGCACCCTGGTTTAATCGATGAAAATGTGAATGTGTCAAGGCTCAGACCTTACTTCAACAAAGATGCCTGGTTATTGGTTAACCAGATAATTGCACAAGTGAGACAAGATCCAACTTGGCTTTGCAATGTGTGCAAATGTGATGTCGAAGAAGATTGTGTGTCATGTGACAGTTGTTTAAATTGGTTTCATTTTGAATGTGTGACACTGAAGAATGCACCAAAGGCAAAATATTGGTTTTGCAGGAAATGTCATAGTTTATGCAAAAATAAATAGATTAATTTAATATATAATATAAAGATCATCTAGACAGTCAAGGAATTGATCATTAGCAACATTTTACATTTCCATTAGCACAAGAGAGGTTTTGTAGAGGTTTTTACAATTAGTTAATATTTGTCACTAAGACCTTCAGTGTAAAATAATATATTTTTATATTCAATGTTTGTTATTTTTTGTATAAGTAAGGTCGATCAAGCCTTTGTGGTATAAAAACATCAATCTGATTCTGACATCAAGTATGACAATTTATCTACACATCTGCTGTGCTTCAGGAGTGGTTTTATTACTACCTTAACCCATTAAGCGCCAGCACTCTCCCCTTGACGAGTAAAATCATCTGGCGTTAGACAGAGTAAAATACTAAAGTAGGGTGAATCAGGGTGCAATGTGACTCAATGGGTTAAAAAACAAGCAGAAACTCAATGTTTCGAGCGAAGGCCCTTCATCAAGAGTTAGTTCTGCTTATATTAACCACTCAGCACAGCATTTTCACATTGGTACTAGTACCTACCTAGTATATATATCTACACATCTTTCTTTCCAAATGTGAATACTACCAGAGCATTTTAGTTAAATTTGTTTGCCCCTGATGGGAAAATTATTGTTGCCTATGGCCCTGTTTCCATATGGAAGTTCTTGGCATTTATTGTCTCAGTATAATTGAAAAATAATTATTAGGTTAATATATTAATCAACCTATCAATATATAAAATGCTGGGGGGGGGGGACATAATGTATTACTGTTAGGTTAGCAGAATCTATTCTGCTGTTAGACTATTTATATTCACCAACACAAAAAATTACAATGTATACAGACGTATAATGATTAATAATGAATGAGCGTTTCTACAAATATGTTTCCTGTATAATATTGTTTAATATAGTTGCTATATATACCTTTAATATTTGCAGTACATTTGAATAATTAAAGACAGGCTAGAAAGCAAAGTCAGAGCTAACCGTCGGTGAAATAGCGTGTGTTTTCTTTGTTACGACATTGGTCGGATAAATAGCGTTTTGTTAAACGGATACGACACGATGTCGGAAGAATAACTCTTCGATCAACGCTTACGACAAAAAACATCACGAAATATAACACTGTGAGTTGAAAATTTTTCGAAGTTGATATATTTCTGTTTGAACATGCGCGTGGCGAATGTCGGATGAATAGCCATCAGACATTGAGTTCCGGTGTCGGACGAATATCCACGGCGAAATTTGAATTTGCCGCGACAATATTTAAAACGATGATATAAAACGTTAGTTTAATTCAAAGCTTACATTTGACTCCTGAAGTCTTTATATTAAGTTATGTTTATTGTATTAACTAATGCCAAATAGTTAATAGTTGTGTATTGCCAGATTCCAGTGGCAGTGTTTCTTGTATCAAAATTAATATATTATGGCTTGGCATCTACTCAAGTTTCAATCCTCAATTCTTTATATGCTTATAAATACCTAGGCATATCCCAGCTAAATGTGCATGTCTCAGTTACATAATAGTCATACAATAAAAGTTATTCTGAATAAGGAGTGCATTATATAGTAATTAACACACAATTTATGAAAACTGTATGTTTTGAATCAAATATGATTCACCTTCACCAGTGTTTCACAAGATATGTCGTTATATTTGCAAGACATGCCGTTATATTATTTTCTACTTATATCTATCTAGTATATTTGCTGAAATTATCAGCCGGAAAAGGATGTCTTATGCACTTTACCATTATAGCACTTATATACCCTACTTTAATTTTTTTTTCACTCTCAGTCTAACACCAGGTGTTGGTTGCATCAAAGCTGGATTCTTTCAGTTCTGTTTGATTTTACCATGTCTAACATCTGAGGGTAATAGTACAATGTATTAGGATATCAATGGAATGGGGGTATAGAGGGTTAATTTCAATTTCCTTTGTATGCCATGCTTAAGTTTTTAATGCCGGATGGGTTGGTTAATAGGTAAAATGTCAATTTGATCAATTTGTTGTGTGGCAACTTGATTATGGAAGTGCCCTAACGGGAAACAGTCAAAGTCCTTTGTTTGCTTGTTCAAAGTTTATAATATATGAATACATTTATCTATACCACCTGCATGATCTGCTTAATAATATATGTAACAACCTTTGGGCTACATTTTATATATCTTTAGACACAACTCGGCAAGTCACGACAATGGTGAAATTACCCATTTCACTCCGAAGTGCCCAATTTTCAGCAGTTTGTTAATATTTAAATGTTTCTGTATCTTGCCTAATGTTGGACAATTTTATTTGCCAAGGAAAGTATCCAGCTAGACTCATGATATTTCATACCCATGATGTTTCATGTTGACATATTTAGATGTAATTTTCCTTAACACTCCCTACTTTAAGTTCTGCACACAATATTTAACTGTGTGGTCTCAAGCTAGACAATTTTAAGGGGGGCGGCTGTCCCTCCTGCACCCCCAGTTCCGGTGTCCCTGTAAACAATGCCATTGATTTGACACTGCTTAACCTGCCCCATTCACCCCTGCCGCTGTTAGACTGTCACAACCTAGCATTGACAGCTAATAAGAATACAAACTGTTTTATGTGTATTATTTTATACAATTTTAAACGATAATATACCTGTCAACCATGGTACTAAGCTAATTTGATATTATTTCATTACTATTTTTTAACTGGTTTTAATTATCATACTACAATTTTATTACTTTATAAAGAACTATGTTGCAGTGCTACTATTTTTATATACTATTAGGTATTTTATTGTTATTTTATAACTATTTTATTGCTACATTCTGACTATTTTATTGCTATTTTATGACTATTTTACTATTTTTTTATTGCTATTTTATAACTATTTTATTACTACTTTCTGACTATTTTATGACCATTTTATTAATCATTTTAGAACTGTTATGACTCTCGACTATTTTATTACAATTTTATTACTATTTTTATACTATTTTATAAGAATTTTGAACTATTTTTTACTATTTTGTTCGCTATTTTATCACTATTTTAAATTCTACTATTTTATTACTGTTTTATCAGTATTTTATTCATATTTTTAAACTATTTTATTACTATTTTTGCAGTAATTTTATTACTATTTTTAGTTAATATACTGCAGTTGATCCACTATTTTACATGTATTTTCGACTATTTTTTACCTACTTTATGTATATTTAAAATCTATTTTATTACCAATATTTCACTTTACTTTATTATTTTATTTCTATTTTGCACTCTATTTTAAATATATTTTATCCTATTTTAAACCTATTTTAATCTGTGCTTCACCGATTCAGAAAAATAAAATCTATTTAAAATAGGCTATTTTTTGTTTCAAAAAAACCTATTTATAATAGCCATAAAATACAATTAAAACAGAGTTCTAATAGGTTTAATATAGGATTTGTATATGTGATAGCAATATGATAGGGTTAAAAATAAAATAGCTTTTCTATAGGAATAAAATAGAAATAAATATGAAATATAATGGAATATAAAATAGGGATAAAATAGGGTTAAAATAGTGTTGATTTTCGTAAGGGTGTATTTCCACTGTGGTATTTCGTAATGTGTCCATCAAATGTGGTAAAGGCTATGTGAGGATTGTAAGCCATGACGTACTATATACTATATGGATTAATACTTTTAAGTAATATATGTATAATAAGATTGATTGTCCAAAGCAGTCCGAAGTAGTCCGAGCCAGTTTCGCGTTACAACATGGTATGAATAGTGTGATATATTGGGTCAATATCATTAATTAAAAATGACTCTAGACTTTCACTGGCACAAACAGCACCTGAAAGCTAACATAACGCAGAACGTGTCATTTGAGTAGGGTCCTTGCATCTAATTAAAATTAACTGTTTAGCATTGTGATTGGATGAAAGTGCTCATACATCACTCGCAGCGAGCTGCAAGGAGCGTCGTGCGAGGACTGGAAATCCGCTTTAATACAGCTGATAGCAAACCGTCAAAATTCCCTAGTCAAAATTCATTCACTTTTTAATGGATGTTGTTTGCGACAAGTTTATTGCCTCCGTTGGAAATTAAATTCACTTGCGGATTAGCATAAATGCTAGGTATAGTTATGCACATAATTACGAGAGATATAACAACCTTTGGTAACATGCATGCATGTATAACGACCTCATAGTCATCAGAGGGAAACCTTAGCTGAATTATCTGCATTTCATTTCCCGGTTCAGTTCTTAGCATTTTGATTTTGACGCAAGTAATCAATCTTGAATAAACGGTATGTGTATATATTTTTGAAATAACTTTAGATCATTACGGCACACGATATCAAAATAAGCCGTTGGTTTCACTCTATCTTTTATTATGTATAATAAACTTCGATGTCAGGTACTATACAGTATAGTACTGTATATGCATGGATGCATTTGAATTTTGACTTAATTAAACTCTTTCTCGACCGGCCCTTATTAACGTATATAACACCTGTGTTATATGACTATTACAGGTTCATATCTTCGGTTCTGTGCATATGCTAGGAAGACAAAAATACCACTGTTCGATTCAGTGAGACAATGTCGCCTAATTCTTCATAGCGACAGTTTTAGTCTACGTCAAACATTATAGCGATTTATTGCTTTGAGAGGCCAAGTGAAATTATATGTCAATTACATCACTCTGCGAGAAAGTATGTAAAGAATAAATGCACCAAACGAATGGGCACTAGAAATAGTTTACACTAAAACTGCCCCCGGGCTGTTGTGGTGTACTATCTAGCTTTTATTAAAAATGATCATGCCTTACGGCTTTCAAATATTAATACAACAAAATATTATTACTAATTTCTGGCTTTCTTTTAAAACGCTTAAAAGGTTGATAAAAATGGACGAACTTTAACAATGAAACAATATAACCAAGTGTAACTTGGTGCGTCCATCCGGTTGAAGGAATGGCGCTTTTTAATATAATGGAACAATGACTATGATCGAGTCCCTTGTTACAAACGTCTTATAGTTG